CTTCTCTGGAGACATTCAAAACCCGCCTGGACACGTTCCTGTGGGACCTGCTCTGGGTGGACCTGCTTTGGCAGGGGGTTGGACTAGACGATCTCCAGAGGTCCCTTCCAACCCCATGTGATTCTGTGACATGCCACATGCAGGCAATAGCTAAGCATATAACCAGAATTTGCAAAAATAAAACTCTAGTCCTTCTATTAGAGCTCATTACCAGGAAAATGAACCACCCCAGATATGCTGTGCTTGGTTCCTCACACACCCTCCTTGGTGGTGTTTTAGGATCAAGGGAGATGGAAGCCGCCATTGACATGTTTGCCTTGGTATCAATACCTGTGCTGGTTTGTGTGAGCTTCACTTTAGCTGTTGTGCTCTGCTCGGGGTGATTTGTGAAGCACCAGTGTTTCCGTACCCACAACAACTCATCGGGTGTTCTACTTGAGGTTTCAGTGACTGGTGTGAGATTGGACCCCCCTTCGTGGGTGCTTCTCATTGCCCCAGTGAGCTAAGTGTCCTTCCCAGATCTGCTGGGGGAATGTAGGAAGGAATTACATGTGAAAAATGAATAGAGCATCCTCTTCCGTGGAGACGAGGTTGACCGAGCCTTGGTTGCAGGGACTGGTAGGAGCCCCCCCAGGCCGACTCCCTCCCTCCAACAAACCTGCCTGGTCTCGCTTCCTCCTCAAACCTGCTTCAAAACAACAGGCCCTGCAAAGCTGAACCTCTACAGGAAAGCAGGGTGGCTCCTGGCATGAAAGAGACTTCCTTTTTTTGAGTAAAACAGTTGATACTGTATTTCTTCCGTACGTTGCCTAGTAAGTCTAGAAAATAGTTTTACTGTGACTTTTGTAGTCATCTCTGCACTCTCATACCACAGTTCAGAGTCTTATTAGAAGTTGAATTATTTATTAAATTAATTGCATCTTTTTTTGGTATATTTAATAGACCGCTGTGTGAAAAGAGCTACAGTAACAGTCGGGAGGCTCTCCTTAGGAAGTCAGCTTTCCTTGGAAGCTGATGTAGAATATAGCCTGGAGTCAAAACAAGATTAAGAAAGCATCTTTGTTTGTAACAGGCTCTTTATCTTAAGCACTTCCAGGGCTCCCACTGCTCTAGCATCTGACCTTAATTGTGGGCACCACACAGGTAGGAATGTGGTCAGGAGAGGTCCACAGCAGGGCAGGGAGGCAAATCTTGCAATCTCACGATCAAGGCCTGCATTGTATCTGCTAGCCCCTATCTCCAGCTCACTTGTGCTTTTAAATCTGTGATCAAGGCCTGCATTGTATGTGCTAGCCATATCTCCAGCTCACTTGTGCTTTTAAATCTGGGAATCCACAAGCCCTGAGCTCATCCCACGGCTGAGAACAAGCAAGCACTTCACACTTTAAGCAATTTAATTTTTTTTTTAAATCCTCAGCACCTTAGGATCCCATGACACATTTTTGGAATTGACGTGGCCGCTTGCATTAGATTCAAAGCTGCCTGAGGGAATAGATTTGCTCCCTCTCAACTCTGGGCACTCTGGGGCCTGCCCCAACACCAAACGTCTCCTTCGAAAGTCTTCCTCATTCCCCTTTCCCAGGTGGGCAAGGCAGAGCCACTGAATGATGACAATAAGCACCAGCACCTCCCTTCTTCTTGGCTAGAAATAGCTGGGTTTCACACGATTGTAGCTGGAGTGTTGAGCAGCACAGTTGGAGAAAAACAAGATAGAAGGAAAAGGCCATGACAAGCATTTGAGAGGAGAAGCAACCGATGGGCACAGGAGCACAGATTGAGACTAAGATGGACACTCGGTATTTGTGATAGAAGGGGAAACATTTTCTTGGCTAGTGTCACAAAAAAAAAATGACATTTCTCAGATCTCCCTACTAACTTAACCCTGTTCCACTCAGTATTTGTGACAGAAGGGGAAAGATTTTCTTGGCTAGTGGTTTTTGTCATTAAAAAAAATGACATTTCTCAGATCTCCCTACTAACTTAACCCTGTTAACGTGAAACTCGGCTGGTATCGCAGACACAGTCCCCATTAACACTGGAATTTACCTGTCTAAGAGGATGCTGTTACATTTGTACGGCAGCCCAGCAGCGTATTAATCCATTAATCCCTCCAACTGCCCTGCTCTGGCTATCAAAACCGATCTGTATTTTCATCTCACTGATACTTTCAAAAAAATATTGTCAGAGGATAGAAACCTTCTGCTAAGAAGCACGTTTTAGGTGGAGGCTTTGGACAACTTTGCCTTAAACCATTACAGAGTGTGTGGGGGATATAAAAACATAAAAAAATATACTAGTTTTAATCCAGGCCATGATACAAAGAAAATTAAAAACAGCACAAGCGTGAAACTTTTAGTATAGTACTATCTCTGCTACATTTAATAAGGGAAAAGATAGATTAAAATTTATACCTGTTACAAGGGACAATTTGCATTTTCCTGAAAGACAACATACCCTGTTCTTAGGAAGTTTGTGGCACTTTGGGGAGGAATGAATGGTGCTCTTATCTCTGACCTTGGGGAATCCCTGCTGCTTTTAGGGTTTCTTTACGTATTTTAACATTGTGATAGGTCCTAAAGAAACTGCTGCCTATCCAAAAGTGTACTGGTGGGAAGAGCAGAGAGTTGTGTGAGAGTGAGTTACAGGCGGGGGTGTGTGTGTGCAGAGGTGTCCTCAGGCAGGTCTTAGAGAGCAGAGGTCTGTATTGAGTGAGCTTCTGTGGTGCAAATACTCTTTCTGGTTTTTAATCATAAAGATGTTTTCTGTTCATGGTGCAAATCGAATGAAGGAGATAATTGCTCACTGAAGCAAACTGAGCAAATACATTTCCCTCTCACTAATGGGCATGACAGAACCATATGAATGCCAAAATAATTGCTGATCTTGTGATCTGGGGGGCAAGCTGTACTCTTTTGCCTCATTGTGCAATATCCTGTAAGTTTTAATTTTAAAAGAGTTATTATTGCATAGCTAAACTACCATCCTGCAACCGGATATATTTCTGCCCTGTTAATCAAGCTCGACAGTACGATGTTTTCAGCCAAACTATATTAAAACCAAAGATGCTTTCCTTTAAGGAAGGTGTTGTCTTGAAAACCAAGCAGGGATTATAGTTGTGTTAACGTGACTAAGCACAGGAGAGAAGTTTAGGGAAGAAGAGCCACAAAGAACTGGCCTGGCCAGATTCTCAACTGGCATTAGTCACCCTAAGGCTGCTCCAGTCCGTGGAGTACGCCTGATTTATTCTCGCTAAAGACCAAGACCTTGAAAAGCAAATGTACCAAATGTCCCAGTTGGCAAAGTCAGATGGCACAGTTTGGGGGGAAGTCCAGTAATGCAGAAGCTGAAGCTCCTAGTTGTGTCCTGCCCCGTGCCTTGGACTGTGCAGTCAGCAGCTGCATAAAAGTGGTGGCACCGAGAACCTCATGTAGGTGTGGTCTGGCTCAGTTGGGGTTACCGGCAAAATTTACTTTTGTGTTTCCTCATTACTTTATTTTTTTTTTACCCATTGAAATTTGGTACGGGAGTGGGGGAGGGAAGGGCTTCCTGGAAGTGGTTCACAAAAATGTGTTCTTGCCCCTGCCCTTCTACTTCAGACCAAGAGAGGGTTTGCCCCGAAGGGTGGGTGATAGAAAGCAACCCAAGCAGCAAATGCAGCGTGCAGGGGCTGTTCCGCTCGGCCTGATAGGCAACTGGCAGGAAGAATTCATGTGCCTTCGTGTCTTTCTTTAAGTCAGTCCTAGATGCTGGAAAATTGATTGCCCACGCAAGAGGCAACCACATAACATCCTGTTTACCCAACTTAGCAATGTTGGGGTTTTGCTTTGTTTTCTTCCTTAAAATCTCTACTACAGAAGTAATTGCTAAAGAAGCTCAGATTACCCTTGAGAGAGAATGACTGGGGTCTTTTTACCTTGTAACTGCAGAGAAAGAGCTTAAAAACAAGACACCAAAAGGTTTTTCAAGCAGGAGTCAAATAACAGGATCAGAGCACATCTGCTTGCTTTAGTATTCACTGGTTTTAAGCTAGTTGTGAGTGTTTGGGCTTAGCTCTTGAGTGTCACAGCTGGTGTTTTCTACCTGTGCTGCTGTAGGACTCCTGAGCACCTAGATTTTTCACTCTGAGGGTGGTGAGAGCTGTTTTTCAAGCAGAAGTCAAATAACAGGATCAGAGCATATCTGCTTGCTTTAGTATTCACTGTTTTTAAGCCAGTTGAGAGTGTTCGGGCTTAGCTCTTGAGTGTCACAGCTGGTGTTTTCTACCTGTGCTGCTGTAGGACTCCTGAGCACCTAGATTTTTCACTCTGAGGGTGGTGAGACCCTGGCCCAGGTTGCCCAGAGAAGCTGTGGCTGCCCCATCCCTGGAGGGGTTCAAGGCCAGGCTGGATGGGGCTTGGAGCAACCTGGTCTGGTGGGAGGTGTCCCTGCCCAGGGCAGGGGGTTGGAGCTGGATGATCTTTAAAGTCCCTTCCAACTCCAACCATTCTGTGATACGTGTCTTGTGCAAGCCCCTCTGTACCTAAAAGCAGTTTGGACTCTGTAGGTGGGTGAGCATTACCATTTTGCAGGCAGTGCCTGGCTTTGCTCTACAAGCAAACCAGAGCCAATGCAGCCTGTAATGGGGAGCCGATCACCTGCTTGGGGGAGCCTCTCCTAGAACTGAGGACACTCACTACAAGCAAATCCTCTTAGGACTGTGCCACAGGGAACAAACCCATATCCCCTTCAAAAGCAGTTTCTGGACCTAGCGCAGGAACTGGGAATGTCAGTCCCTTTATGTGGACGGGGTGTATCTTTTTTTGACACATCCTTCTGCCTAGGATCAAACACTTGCTACCAAACACTCTGTTTTTCCTTGGAGACAAATCAGGGTTTTTTTACTAAACTAAATTTAGAACATAGAACAGGATTAAATTAGTTTTAAACTATACGTAGAACCAGCCTGTATTTTAAAAGATTTTTAAATACAGATATATTGAATATTGGAAATGCTCACTTACCCAAAATGCATCTTTAAACTGCATCTGTGTCATTATTATGGCTCTGTGGAGAGGGAGGAATCCTTCAGCGAGTTGGGTCTCGGAGGAAAGCAGCAGCCCCAGCCCTGAGCTCTGTTGCTGTCGCTCGGCCGAAGCAGGGGGTGAAGCGCATCCACAGACCTGGCCCTTCTGAAGTCAGGCTGGAAAAAGCCAGCATCAGGCAGTTTCAGGCTGCTCAGTGTAATGACCTGTGGCTGCGAAGGGACAGAGGGGAGAAAAAGCTCTTGCTCAGCCGGAGAGACATGCGCGCACTCAGCACCCTAACCCCAAACCTGTTTCGCTTCTGGTAAACAGTTAATATTGAAATGAGGAAGCAAAGAGATGTTAAATGATGTCAGGCTGCTCCTTGCCACGGGTGCATGTGAGCTGCAGGCAAATTAAAAAAAAAAAAAAGAGAAAGAAAGAGAAAAGAAAGAGAAAAGAAATTCAAGTCTTAGTGCTATGACTTGATCAGCTACAGGAGGAGAGCGAGCAGCTAAAATGCAAAGGAAACCAGCACAATGCACAGCAGAAGAGATAAGCTATGGAGGAAATTAGAGTCAAACTATGATGTATAGCTCTGTGGTCTTACAAAGGAAAAAGAAGCAAAAGAAATACGTGTACCACATTTCTCTGATACCTTCTGGGGCTGGCAGAGGCCCGTGTATTTGCACATAGGAAGTTACATTTTGCAACTGAAAAGGCTTTTCAAGACTCTGGTTAAATTAAGAACACTGCAAAATGTGCAGGTGTCTCTACACTTTTAGATACCTGTATGTCTATATAGAGAAAACTTCTGATTTGCATGCCCTCCTGGAAATGTTTATAGGAATAACCAAGATACGTGAAATTTAGAAGTAAAACCCAAAGTCTTGAAAAAAAAAACCTCCTTGTGGTAAGAGAACTAAGAGTTTATTAGCACCAGGACCTGAAGTGAAGCTTCACAAGCAGACATCTGAACCAGCAGCGTGCCCAGCAAACCACTGTTTCCAACCAGCGTGTCAGACACCTGGTTAATTACGCGAGCCGATCTGTCACAATGCAGCTGCAAATAATGGATAGTAGGACAGCACGTCTGACACTTCCATGAAACCCTCTTCAAAGCACCTGTCCTACAGGTGAGGTTGCCTCCATTCACCTCCTTAGGAGGTTTTGAGGATTCTTAAATTTGTGGGTTTGAATGCTGGCATTTTCAGAAGTTAGGAAAAAAAAAGAAAAAAAAACTCCTACCATGGTTGCCAATGCAAAAATGTGTCCTTCCACACCAAGAACACATCAGGACATAATTAGCTATAACTAATTAACGTTGCTCCTGATGCCTGGGTGTTGCTTTTTTTCTCCCTGGCCCTGCAGCACCAGCCAGAGGGGTAGATGATTGTGGTGATGATGATGATGGTGGTGGTGGTAGTGAGGATGTTTCATAACTTCATTGAGCTCCAGCTCCTCTGCTCCGAGAGGTCTTGGAGCAGTTGGTGGCTGGAGTTAGGATGTTTCACAACTTCACTGAGTTCCAGCTCCTCTGCTCCAAGAGGTCTTGGAGCAGTTGGTGGCTGGAGTTACCAGTAGTCACCCCGTGAGTGATTTGTAGCCAGTATTTTAGAGAATATTTTATGAAGTTTCCTTCCTGGCGGTCTGAAGAAGATGGAGAATGTGCAGAGACTTTGGAAGGGAAAATGAAGTGCGAGCAAAGGAAGGTGAAAAAGAGGGTTTGCAGGGCCAGAGGTGGGAAACTGCTTTGATTGTTGTGAGTGGCAGGAAAAAAGCATCATCTTGTGAGAGGGGGAGAAGGAGAAATGCGAGGATTTGCTCGCAGAGGGTGCTGAGGAGGAAGGGGTGAACTTTTCTTCCACGAGGGAAAATTCCCTGAAAAAAAATGTATTTTGAGGGCATGGGCACTAACCTGATCTGTAAGGGAAAAAGCCAAATGACCTTAGCCTTTCTAAAATTGAATGTTTCCTCTTACTATTTCTAAATCTCATATTTGTTTGGAAATGGATAGATAAAAATGCATTGAGTGTGTTTTGGCCCTCCAAACCCATGTGCTGCTTTCTCATTACTTGTAGTCAGGCCTCCAACCAAAAAGCCAATTATTTGATTGAATCTCAGGCTGAGCTCTGTGCCTGTGTGTGTCCCTCTGGAGGAGGGAGATGATGATCTCCACCTTGCAGCTGAAGGAACCGAAACCTACAGCAAATGGTCCTGGCAAGCCTGTTCAGTGCTGGAGGTGGGGGTTTGGGAGGGGGGAGGTCAGTGGGATGCTGACCAGGGAGTCTTCTCCAGGTGGCTGTGCTTCACAGCTGCCCCAGATGTGAGGAGTGCGTCATCAGCCAGCTGTGCCAGCGTCGGGCACAGAATCCATGACCCCACACAGCCCATCTCCCATACGCCACAGCCCCAAAGAATACCCTTGCAGTGGGCATCTACTGAATTTATACCGAGCTGGTCCACTCCAACTGCTGGTTTGTAGGATGCAATTAACTTGTTGTAAGTTTGTATCATTTAGCAGAGCTGGAAATATTACCCAGAAATAGCAGTTCCCAATAGCTGTTTTATTTCAAAGACACATCAGCCTCTTTTCCCTCCAGAAATTCATCTTTGTCCTTTTCCCAAGCAAACATATCAAATAGTGTTGCAAGTCTTTTGTAAAACTCCCGTGATGAATGCTGCACTTGGAGAAGAAATCTTCCCAAAGTGCCCTCTGTGCAGGAACATCATTAACAGCTGCTCTATTTCATGATTGGGTTAATATTTTGATGTGAGTGGCCTGAGCTGTAGGAAGGCTGGAAAGGCTGAGCCCTGGAGGGAGCTCTGCAGGGCTGAGGGAAAGGGAGCAAAAATCAATGAACCTTGCTATGCTCCTCACAACTACAATGCCATCTACTGAGATCACCTTGAACTTGACGAAATTTTCCCCTGCAAAACAGTTGTATAGATACGTTTGTGCCAAAAAAAAGCATTTTCAGTGGGGAAGTGAGTGGGCCCAGGGTGGCAGTGACAAGTGATCGGCGCCTCGTTCGTTTATTTGGTTATTGATGGGCTGGATCCTTTGGAAACCTGCATTTCCCTTTACCTCCCCTTCTTTGTCTTTATAAAAGGTTAAAAATCACCGGGTTATCACTTTTATCTGTTTGAGAAAGCCAAGAGTCAGTTTCCAGGCCCAGAGTGTTGGGGGTTTCTTTCAATCATTAAAATCGTTTGGCAACAGGATGTACTTTTTTAATCTGTTCTGTAGTGGAAAATGATGAGAAGTTGGATCTTTTATTTTTTTTTGAAAAGTTCATATTTAAAAAACCCTCAAATTTTAGTGTGCATCAGAATGAAAGTGTCATTTGGGGTTTTGTTAACTGTATATCGCTTCGAGCAAAGCTTTTTATTAGGGACTTGGGCGGCAGGTTTGGACCTGACAGTACTTAAAATATGAAAATAGCATCTACAAACAGGGTTGTGCTCATCCAGCGCTTCAAGCAAAACATTCTTCACAGTTAATGTTTCTGATTTTGGGTAGTCTGATGGAGCAGGCAGTAAAGCTCTTAGTCTACATAGAAACAGCATGAGGGGGTCTATGGAAGGTATTAAGGCAGTATATAAAGAGATGCAGAATACTCCGGTAATTCAGGTATTTAGCTGGTTGTATTTTTCAAAACTCCCCAGGTAGATTGTGGTCTCCTGGAATCACTGTTTGTGAAATGAAAATGGAGAATAGAAGGCACTTCTGTGGCCCTTCAAAGCCTCTATGACAATTACATCTCAGAGATACGGCTTCACAATGGTTGCAGTGATACAGTCATGCTCAAAATGAACACAGTGCAGCCTCTGGTGTCTCACTGAGTCCTGGAGCCTGGAGACACCAACAGCAACCAAACAACTTCCAGAGGAAAATCACAGCTGAAATATCCAGGCGTTTTCGCAGGTTCCCTGCGCCTGCTGTTCCTATTTCCATACAAATGGCTATCCGAATTTCAATGTGAGGAATGTTAGGGGCTTTCAAATTATCCGCAATAGTGCCAATTTACAAATTTTTAAACCCCTTTGCCTTCTGCCAGGAGCCAATCTCTGTTCCCATGGAAACAGAAACGGCAGCCTCCGAGCATCCTCCTTGCTTTGTGAGGTCTCCTCTGCAGCCTGGCCGGGGGCTGGTTCAATGTGCTCCAGAGCCCACCCATCCGCCCTTCTGGGCCCCCAGCCATGCTCCCTTTGCTGCTGCTGGAAGGATCTGTTGGAACATCCTTCCAAAAGCCCTGTTTCATGGTGCAAGGCAGTCCTGCTGGCATTTCACTTCAGTAGAATTGAGAACTAGCATAAAGAATAATTGTGTATACTCCATTCTGAACCGGTATCTAATGGAGCTGGTGAGGGGTCTGGAGAGTAAGGTGAACCAGTATCTAACGGAGCTAGTGAGGGGTCTGGAGCACAAGTCTTATGAGGAGAGGCTGAGGGAGCTGGGGGCGTTCAGCCTGGAGAAAAGGAGGCTGAGGGGAGACCTTCTCACTCTCTACAACTCCCTGAAAGGAGGGTGTAGCCAGGGGGGGTCGGTCTCTTCTCCCAAGTCACAGGCCATGGGACAAGAGGAAACGGCCTCAAGTTGCCCCAGGGGAGGTTCAGGCTGGAGATGAGGAAAAATTTTTAACCTTATTATTTTATTAAGCCTTGGAATGGGCTGCCCAGGGAAGGGGTTGAGGCACCATCCCTGGAGGTATTTAAAAGACGGGTTGACATAGTGCTTAGAGACATGGTTTAGTGATGGTTTTTATCAGTGTTAGGTTGATGGTTGGACTAGATGATCTTAAAGGTCCCTTCCACCCTGGACAATTCTATGATCCTATGATTTCATAGCAGTTCCCAATGGATGCTTTTACTGAAAGGTGGACCCAGTCCCTGATGAGAAATATAATCATAGTTTTTGCCATAATTACGAAGCACATGAATGGTTTTCCTATCAAATTAACATCGTGATACTCTATATATCCTGAAATTATTGTTTGTATCACAGAAATGTGATACATTTGTGCTTGATACAGTTTAAACATGGTTAGCTACCATCCTTACCCCTGGAAGGGTTTCAAAGACACAAAAAGGAGAAGAGAAACTGTGTGAAAGTGCAATGTCACAGGAGGCTTGATGAACACAAAGAGTGTCTGGTAGCTCTTTGGAGAAAAGTATAACCCCTTGTGAAAGAGAAAGACGTGGGGTTCCTCTCTCCCCTTCTTCCCACAACTTCAGGAACTTGCAGTGAGATGCTTTTTATTTCTCTGACACCTTTTGTCTGTTTTCCCAATGCGCTTGCTTTCTCCATCCCATTAATTCAAAGGAAATCACCGTTCATTTGCAAGTGT